GGTGGCATAAGGTCACATCTGTGTTCAGGTATTGAAATGCTTTGGTATCTGTGGTAAAGAGCCATTACTCTCAGGGTCCCCTCCTATCTTCATGTCACAGCCACTCTGGCCACTCCTCCGAGACAGTCCATGTTCTCTCCATAACTCAGCACCCCACCTCCTGAACCCTGCTTCTCTTCTGATAGGTGCCTGTGCTCCACTAGCATGTAAATGCTGTTCATCACCTCTGCAGAACCATAACGAAGGTAAGGCCTATTCCTTCATTTATGACCTTACTGATTTATTTCACCAACACTTACCAGTTGCCCACTGTTTCCCAGGCACTGAGCCAGACTTAGGGCCTCCAAACTATATGTGGTTTCTGCCTTCATGCACTTACATTCTGGTAGCAGAGGCAGACAGTAAGCAAGAAAAGAAATACATACACGGGAATAAATACAGATTTTCATTGACGGTTTAGGAGGAAATGAGATTAGATTAGGGAAGTCAGAAATAACCTCAAAAAAGATGGCGTTTGAAATGGGCCTTAGAGATGCATAGGGTTTATGCAGGTCCAAGTGCAAGGGGACAGCACAGGCATTAGGTTGAAAACATGGGCATGCTTAGGGACTAGGAGTTCAGTTTAACTGAACAGTGGGGTCTCTACCCTGGGAGATCAGGGAAGAGATGTAAGTAGGTTGACCAAGCCAGCCTTCTCAGACCTGAAGATGGACTTCTGCACAGATGGGCCAAGACTTTTAATTCTAAACCTCGTGGCCCTCTGGCAAATTCACAGGTCCACTGTGTAAGTTGGGTAATTTATGTACTAGACAAAATGCCAGCCTTGGATGCAAGTAGGGTACTCCCTTGACCCCCTCTCAGCTGCATACACTGGTGCCAATTTTCCTAAAATGCTTCCACTGGCCCCATTTTATGCCAACAAGCTGTCATCTCTCCAAAGGGGCACTTTCTTCCATTTCACACAAGATAGGGCCACAATAGCCTCGCCTAGATACTTCTGTTCCTAATCAGACTGCTCTGTTCTTTTTCAGCAAATTCTCTAGAAAACCCCTTTCACACCTCCATGGCCTCACCTCACCTCAGCCCCCTTAATCAAGCCTCTCACCTACTTTGGCCAAGCACCCCACTCAAGACTTCTTACAATGACTTCTTTTCCTTCACACAGGCTGCTCCTGAAACCTAGTTCCTCTTTGAATTCTTCCCTGACCACCTAGCCTGACTCCTTCCTCTGTCTAAACACATGACTCTCCAACTTTTTCATCCTTTACCACCTCCACAAGGTCACTTTCCTCAGACCTCCTTGATTTCTTTCATATTCATGTGTGAACTCAGTGGTATCTGTCACCTGTGGGTCTTTAGTATATGTAAATGCAGCAGTGATAGCTCGCCCAGATTATAAACTCCCCAAACTGGAAACAAGGCCTGTGGATGTATCACTCACCTGGTTGCCATTAAAAGAAACCCACATCACAGTTGCTATTGATACCTGTGCTTCAGGTGGGAGGCATTAATTCACCGAGTCTGTTCATTCAGCAAGTATATATCAATCATTCATGTATGCCACTCACAGGTAATATAACAGTGAATGTGTGGCCCTTCTCCTTAGAGAGGATGTTTATTTAATCAAAATTTTTTTGTGTATCTACTATAAGTCAGGCCTTATACTAGACTTCGGAGTTATAAAGGTAAAACAATATCTGTGACGATGGGACAGACAAAAGAATACAGGGTGGTACTTACTGAGATCAAGGACTTCCCCAAGTACTATGAGAACCATAAAGTGCACAATGACCCAATTCACAGCCTCATGGAAGAAACATTCATTTGTTCTTTCCAACAATCGTTCAATATTTACCCCTACTGTGTGCCAGTCGCTATTCAAGGTGCTGAAGTGATGAAACCCTTCCCCATGAAGCCTAAACATTCCAGCAGAGGAGACAGACAATAAACAAATTAGTAACTATATACTATGCTAGATGATGATAAGTGCTTGGGGGAGAGTAAAATAAGTGGGAGGGGAGTATGGGGCATATCAGGGCCATGAGAAGGTGTCCTTGATCAGCATAGAGTGGTCAAGAAAGACTTCTGAGATGACACCAAAGGAGACCCCTGAAGAAGGGACAGACATGTGATTAATGGAGGAAGATTGTGCCAGGAAGAGGGACCAGCAAGTGCAAAGACTGTGGGATACAGGCTACTTACAATATTCAAGGAAGGCCAAGTTAGCCAGTGATGCTGAGGTCCAGGCATCTGTGTTAAAGAAATAGGTCAGTGAGGAAGCAGAGGCATGGAGTGGGAGGGCCTTGTAGCTAGCGGAAAGGCGTTGGCTTTTACACACTGGGTATGATGAGGAACAACTGGAGGGCTTTAATGGGTGGGTGCGGGGGCCCGCCCCACGAGGTTCGTGGGATGTGTTGAAGGAGAGACAGATAGGCGAATGACGATCATATACCGGACACCTGCTTCTTGAA